AACTCATCTAGAGTAGACAGGTGCTCACTTACCATTTGTTCCCTATTTTAACTTGCGTTTCTAATCTGTTTTTTGTGGTGCTGTTTTTGATAGGTTGGACTGTTTTTTCCCTTTGTGTAAAGACAAATGCAAAAAATGAGTTACGTAGTTCTGCTTTCTCCCTGTTGCTTGTCACCTTCTTGCCACTTTCTCCCAGCGTTGGACCAATTGTTTCTTTGACTTTTTTCTTGTTTTTAACATGTTGGAAGAAGCTTTTTTTGTTATTTTTTACTTTTGTCGCAAGCTTTTGTTCATTGTAAGCCTTAGCTTTCCTCATTTCATCTTTGCAGACTTGAGCTATTTGCTGATATTCTGCCTGTTATGTGCCCCCCTTTCCACTTTTTATATGTCCTTTTTGTCTTTCAATTTGTCAGAGAATTCTTTATGCAGCCATACTGATTTCTTTTGAGAGCTGTTATTTTTCTTCTTCATTGGTATTGTGCTAGTCTGGGCTTTTATAATCTCACTTTTCAAAATTTCCCAAGCTTCTTGAGTTGTTTTCTCCTAGAGGATTCTCATCCATGGAATCCTTCCCAAGCTCTCTCTAACTTTATTGAAATTAGCTCTCTTAAATCCAAGATTCTAGTTTGACTTTGTTCTATTACTTGTGCCTGCATAATGTTGAATTCTAATATTGTATGATCACTCCCCACTAAGGTTCCTGAAGCTTCAACACCTTCTATCATTTCATCTCTGTTAGTGAGAATTAAGTCCAATATGGCCAATTCCCTTGTTCCTTTCTCTACTTTTTGGGAAACAAAGTTGTCTGTTAGGTTAGTCAGGAAGCTGAGGGATTTTCCACTTGGTGCCGTTTGTCTTCCAGTTGATGTCAGGGTAGTTAAAATCTCCCATTACTATTGGAATATGCTTTCTACATACCTTAGTTAGCTGACTAGCAAAAAGTTCATCTATTTCCTCTGTTTCGTTGGGTGGCCTATAGCAGTGGTCCCCAACCCCCGGTCCGCGGACCGGTGCCGGGCCGTGGAGTACCTGGCACCGGGCCGCGCAGCAGCCGGGGGACATGAACGCTGCAGCGCAAAGGCTCCTGGGCCGTGCGCAAAAGCTCCTGGGCTGTGCGCAATGGGCTGTGCGCAAAAGCTCCTGGGCCGTGCCCCCACCCCTGCGCGCGCTCAGCGGGCCGCGGCGATAAAAAGGTTGGGGACCACTGGCCTATAATATACATCTATGGCAATGTCATTCTCCACACACACACCCTTTAATATTGACTGAAATGCATTCAAGACAGTTTCTGTCATTGTTGTGCTCTATTTCTGTAGAGATGTAGTTATTTCTTATATATAGTGCAACTCCACCTCCTCTTTTATTTAGTCTATTTCTTTAAATAATTTAAATCCCTCTAGCTGTATGGTCCATTCTAGCTGTATGGTCCAACACATGCAAATTTTGTAATGACTAATCATTTGTCTGTGGTAGAACTGTAGATAATTTGCTTCCAATTATCCTGTAATAACCCAATCTCCCACTCAGTGATGGGATTTAAACTGACTTTTAAGTGAATTTTTATTCCTAAATGATACATACTAATCACTAACTAGTATGATGTCTTCTGAACAATTTCTTCTCACTTCATTTCATCCTTTGATTGTGCATGGGTCATTTAGGTTTGCATGACATACACCAGGTGATACAGTTTTATAAAAATTACTTACCAATTAAAAAGATACAAAGTATGATTCAAATCAATAGGAGAGTGGCTTGAAGACCAGAGTACACTGAATTCAAAGGAAGATGAAAACATGGAATTCAGAGAAATGAAAGCAATTTATATTAAGCCAATAGGAAAAGGTACAAAGAGACCTAGAAAGTTTTGATGTAATAAAGCCAGAATTATAAAGGTTTCCTGCCATAACGAAGATAAATAGACAGACAAACACATCCAAATAAATGATATAATATTCACACACAGACATGAACTATGAAGAATTTTTTTTTGAGGCACTACTTCACTGCACCTAGAGAAATCATAATTTCTCTGTACCCAATGGACAGAAAACTGGGGGACAGACCAAAAAAGTCCAGTCTCACATTGTTCGCCAAAACTTTCTTAATAATATACCATACCCCAAAGTATCGGATTTATATCCTCAAGAATCTAAGCAAATAACTTTTTAAGGAATTTGAATCATTGACTTTGTTCTGATTTTTAGATTCCTAAAAATTGTTGCCATAGCAGCAGATACCATACCTAACTGAACCATGGCTTTACTTATTATTTTTCAGGGCCTTCCTTTTGGGGAATAAGTCCATGCAACCTAGCTCTGCTTGCCTCACTGCCAGCATAATCCAGTCGATAATCAAATTCATCCCTTGTATTTGCCCTGTTCCTGCACAACATTTGCAAATCATTGAGAGTTAGAGAACAGTGTTTCCAATCTTGAAAACTCTTGAGCAGTAAGCTGTCCCTACATACCTCAGTCAACAAAGCCTCCTCCATATGATAGCTCTGTTGTTGCATTAAATTCACAAGTGAAATCTCTTGCTCTCCATATCTGTTAGTCTTTTTTCTTCATCTGGATCATCAGATAAGCTCTCAACTTTGTTCCTTCCTCTTCCTCTTTCTTCACATCCTATTTCTCTTTCTACTAGTATTCATCTGAATACTAGTACCTTCCCATTTTTTTTTGGATCGCAACCAATATCTTTACCTTTATACCTTTTATCTTAGTAACAACCTTTTATTTTCTTCTTTCTTCTTATAGCTAAGGTATTACATGTTGTTTTCATTCTTCCACTCTTTTAGCCATGGCATATAAATAAATGTTGCTTGCAGCTCACCCTTCACCTATCACAGCTCAAAATTTCCATTGAGGTTTTGGTCATATAGGGCACAGAGAGCACAGAAAAAAAATAATCTCCCCCTCCACTTTCTGCCACATGAACCCTATTTTTTCTAATGTACGTCTACCTGTCAGCTGGACAGCCAGCTGACAGACCTGCTGCTCAGCTGCAGACAATTATATTCTGGATTCTGCCCCCTACCCAGAATATCACTGAGCTCCTTTTCTCCCCCCCCTCCCCTCCCCCGGCATAAAAGTATTATAGAAGGGAAGGGAAGGAGAGGCAAGAAAGTGACCCTCCGGGCAGCATACTCAATGAGCAAAAAAAATTATTTGCATAAAATGAGTCCTAAAGTCTCTCTTGCTTTTTGCTGCACGCTTGACAGAGGAAAAAAACATAAAATGCTGTGTTGCACATAAAAACCTCCCTCACCTCACCCTTCAAAAGATTCTTAAGACTATAGATTACCATTATGAGAGGAAAATGTTTAATTATCTATCAATGCAGAGGAAGACCTGAACATATTACACGGTGATGGGCCAAAAGTGAGTCTCAAATGTTTTATAGATGATCAAACAAAATATCTTGTGACCCCAAAATGTACCTGACCCCAAACCATGTTTGTTGCTTAGAATCACTATTTACAGGAGATATTGACATGTCTAATACATGCAGAATCTGTGATAGCTAATTATTGTTTGTGCTCTAGATATAATTTTTAATTGTCCCAGAATTAGCCATTGCCCACTCTCAATAATAGGATTTAAATTGACTTTTAGGTGAACTTTCAAACCTAAATGATATATATACTCACTGATTAATACAGGGTCTTCTGGACAATTCCCTCACGCTAATATATTAATTAGATAATTAAAATATCTAGCAAATTTATCAGGCTAAAAATTAGGAGATTATGAGTTCTAGACATGCCTTAGACATGAAAGCTGGCTGAATAACTTTGGGCCAATCACTTTCTCTCAGTCCATGACATCAGGCTCAGATGACAAGTAGTTGGTCAAATCCTGACACAACCAGTGGATCAAAACTTGGCTGATTTGAAAAAAGTGCATGCTGCATCTGCAATCACATTAGATAGAAAAAAAAAGAACGAACACAATGCATCCTTAAAGTTTCAGAACTTTAGATTTGCCCCTCCAATTGCATCTGGTTGTGGTAATTTAATCTGCACAGGGCTCTAAGGAAGAGCATGTTATTTTAACCCATTCAAATTCACATATGGGTTGTGTTATTTTAGGGAAACTAGTTATTTGGGCTCAAAGTGTCTGCCTCCATCAAGGGAATTCTCTTTTGTGAAGTTTTTCAATATAGGACCAAAGGAATCTAGATCTTTGCCCTGGTTCTGTAGTTTCTAGTGTCTCTGTATCTTTGGGGTGAATAGCAACTGGGGGCTGATTTACACCATATCCTCTGCTGGGCTACGATGTTGACATAAGGGTTGGGACAGGTTTTGTTTTCCTTTCCCCTCCTATTTAAGAGTAGAAAATAATGTACTGTATTGTATTCAGTTTCCTGACTGACTCTTTCCCTTTTTGGGCATGCCAATGGTTGCGGAACAGCCCAAATACAAAAGATACGTTTTTAGAAAGGCTAAACCGGCAATAATGTAAATACAATTAGAGAGACTACAACAGGGCAGTGAAATAACACTGGGTTCCCATCCCCATTGTATACATCACAGCAATTTATTTTTGGGAAGAGGCTTGAGGTTTATTTTTGCGGGTGTGTGTATGCATGCCCTTGGTAAACTTATGTTTCGGAGAAATGTGAAATACGTCAAAGCGTCAGTTAGATTTGCTAAAACCGTGCGGCAGAGGAACACGTATTCGAGACTGTGGCGTCTATAGGGGGAACGGTGCTGTCTGCTGCACCCCGGAGTTATTTGCGGTATAGGCATTTTATCGTTGCTCGTGGGAATGTCCCAAACGTCTGCGGTGTTGTGCTTACGTAGGCAGATTTTTCCCCCCCGGAGCTTAAGCTTTGCAAACCCACAGGTGTTTCTGGAAGCTTCTGGAAGGTGGTGGCAACGGAGGCAGGGAGGACACTGGCATCGCACAGGGTCTGCAGCAGAGCCGCTGTCCGTCTCATGTCTGCCGGGGGAGGAAATGGCTTGGAGACTTGCAGGTGGGGGTCTGGATCAGAAGGCGGCTTTTACTGGCAGGGGTCTCGCAGGGCCAGCGAGTTCCCATGTGCAGCTTCACGAGGAGGAGAAGGGGGCGGGATTCAGTGGAAATTTCCACTCTCTGCAGTAGCATTTGCGGCGACGGATAAAAGAGGAGGGGAAAGCAAACGGCAGAAAAGGCGGGACAGGCATCACTACGGGGAAGGTGAGGCAGCGCTCGCGAGGGTCTGCTTTCAAGCGCGGGGCTGCCTTTCCTATGAATCGGAGGAGTTGAAAATAAAGGGTCTCCCGGCATAACTCGGGACCACCCCGCCTGAGAAGTCCCCCTTTCCCCCCCACCCCAGTCCTGGGAGGACAAGGAGAGGGGAGGGGGGGAGAGTAGCGCCGCCTGACGCGAGCAAAGAGGCGGGTCCGCCGGGTGTGCGCAGCATCCGACCTCTTTTAAACACCCAGCCGCCTCCTGCTCGCTGCAGCTGGGGACGCCTCCGGTCCGCGGCCGCACCGCACTCCCCTTGTCTGGTGGGGCTGAGCTGCTCCTCTTCCACCAAAGATGCCCCGTTATGAGTTGGCTTTGATCCTGAAAGCCATGCAGAGGGTGAGTGGGTGTGGGTTGTGTGCCTGTGTGTGTCTAACCGCCACTGCCCTTTTCGGTGCCCTTGCCCTCTTTTCTCCGCCAGGTATCCCCCTCCCCTTCTCCGTTTCAGACGCTGTGGGTTCCCCGGGCCGCCCAGCTTCCAAAAGCCCTCTGAGGAAGCTTCTGCGCGCCCTGGGTTTCTTCCCGGCAGCCCTGAACGTCCGGCCATGTGTCCTCCTTCCTCTCCGCCTCAACGTGTGGCTCCGAAAGGACGGCCTTTCTCTCCCGCCATTGCTGGCTTTTCTTTCGTTATCGTTCGGCGAATCACTTCGGGAGAATTGGAGAGCGCTTTCGCAATTCAAACAATTGAGTTCTTCTTCTGCTTCTTAAGCGACTTCTCCCTCCGTCCCTCCTTTCCCAAACGCTGAAACAGCACGTGTAGTCTCCTTGCTTTTTTTTTTTTTTTTTTTTTTAACAAAACGCGATTAAAAGAGCCGCTCTCCGTCGTTTAGGAAAAGGTGCCAGGTTTAAACTACAGTATTTTTTTTCCTTCTGCTGCTCTGAGCACTTGGGGGTTTTGCATGGGCCGCGCGCATGCAGGGGCTTCCCTTTGAACGCAAAAATCGGCCCGCTGCCCTTGTTAATTCTCGGCGGTGTTTCATGGAGCCTGATCGCAGCTTTTTTGGACCGTTTCGTTTTGGCACTTCTGGAAAGCTGCTGCATGCTTGGTAAACGGCTCTCCCGATAGTTGTTAGTTGATCACCTTTTCAATGCTTCTCCCCGCATTGGAAGCTTTTGATTTCCAAGAGATATAGAAACATGAATTTTATACATATAAATAGAACATAAATTGCTATGACTGATTTTTTTTAAAAAAGATGAATGTAGGATCCTTTAGACTTACCTTTGAAATTAGCTGGCGTTTTCTAGAGTGCTTCAAGGGTAGCATTGAAAGATTGCTTGATTTCGGGTGGGAGCCCATAACTCAAGAACAGAGGGCCTGTTTTTCACATTGCGGGTTTGAGATTCATGCAGAAATAACACAACAATGATTTTGCGGAAGTTTCCTGAAGCACATACTGGTGACTCAAGATTGATGAATCTGACTCCATATTACTTCTGGTATTGGTAAATACTGAAGAGCATTACATATTTTTGAAAAAGGAAATAGATGATGATGCTCTTTTTAAATGTATTTATTCAGGTAAACTGGTAAATAATGCTTTAAGTAGAAATTTTAGCTTTCTCATCAATACAGAAGATGAGCTCACAGTATTTCCTTGCACTATAATTGTACATGCAGCATGTGCAAAGTCCCACTGTGGTTAGTGAGGTTAGCTCAAAGGAGATGCGTATATGTTTACAGCCTTAAAATATTTTTGCTTATGGAGGTCTTTGCTTAGCAAAACTTCATTATACATATGGGAGGTATTATATATTCTACATATGATGTTTTGAATACGCGTAGTCAGTTTTATTTTATTTGAGTTTTGTGTTTCTGATGTTTGAGGCCTGGGTTTGGAGTATTGTCACACATTTTGTTTCTGATTGCTTACTTTAATGTTTAATTTTCATACATTTCCTGGGGTATGCTCCCATAAAATGCAAGATAAATTAGCTATGTTTCAAGTTGTTGGACCATATAATTTTGGACCATCTCAGATGTATGTATTTTAAAATGTATGGTACATTTAAAAAATTTTTTAGAAAGCGTATTCTGTTGAAGTGGTACCAAGCATTTTGTGAAGCAGCCTGTAGACATTTCTGAATTAAAGTCCAAAGAATTAGGATCTTGCAGCTGAAGAGTTCACAATCTGCAAAAAAAAAAACCAACAACAACAACGCAACAACCTTGCCATAATGTCATATCAGACATTTAAATCAGACTGTCAGCTGATCTAAAGTTTGCCTTCTTAAAGAAAAACATGTGACCAAGAAATAATCTTTATCGATCATCTTTGAGTTCCATGTTTAGATAGAAATCTTCCAAATCATTACTATGTAGATTTAAGAATACAAATAATTCAGTGTGACCTTTTAATGAACAAACAACATAAAGAATTGCTTTAATTTGGTCTGCATTTGGTCTGACATTTAGAATTTTCAGTTTAAAAGGCACTATAGTATTGGTGTATTGCTAGTCAGGTGAACTGTGTTCTGGTGGATTGATATTGCCAAGAACATACATTTTCTGAGGATAAAAATACCTGAATCAATTCAGATAGAAATACAATAGAAGCAAGAGTGCAAGCCATCTAGAATATTACAGTATTCGCTGCTATAATGGAAGAAACTAAACAACAACCACCCTTTGTCTTAATGACAAAAATTTAGTGTATCCTATAATAAACATGGTATTTAAAAGTGGTATATTTAAAAAGGTATCTAAAATAATTTAAATCTAATCATAATTTATTAAGCTTGAGATGTATTTCTCATTCCTATTTTATGTCCTTTCAGAAATACATGTACTTTATGAACTTGCCCAGAAGAGGGCAAGAGAGCTAAACTTTTTTCTCATTAAAATACAGTTTTTTTCCATTCATGGGAAAGTGGTTCACTGACTTCATTTGTCTGTGAATAAAAACTGCATATTTAAAATTGACTATACAAGTAATATATGTTATTTCAAATTACTCAAAGAATTTTATACTATTTTACTATATAGCAAATACAATTTTACTCAATACATGTTTGAAGCTATTGATTTTTCTGCTTTTGGTAGAAAGTATTTAGGTATATATCTTACATATTGGGAAATAGCAAAGTTCATTGTAGAACAGGTTGCTAATAAGGAAATTACAAAAAATATACTGCTTTTCCCCAGTATATAAAGGAAGAGAACAAGTTTAGTAGTACCTTTTCTGATTAATGTTTGTGAAAGGTTAGCAAAATGCTACCAGATTCCTTCTGATATATTTTTTTCCATGATGGGATGGTCATAGAAAAAAAGTACCTCAGAACTGCTTTAAATATTTGTGCTTGCCAAAGCAGTAGTTCATTGCTGACAAAGGGCAAAAATATAAAGAAATGTGAAAGAAGTTGGGCATCTTCAGACATTCAGTGAATCGTTGTTCCATGGGCCTTCTGTCACTTTTAAAGAATATCGGGGCGGGGGGGGAATTCCCAGGTAAACCTGGGGATAATTTGCAAATCTTCACCCCTCTTCCCAGTCTATTCAGAAGTAAGTAAGACAATCATGTATACATGTGGACTGCAGGATACCTTACTTATAACAGGCAAGCAATTGTAAGATCCTGAATTGGGGTAAGTTTTCTAGTGATTTACTAGTGATTTAAATCGTGATTTAAATTGATTTGATTTAAATCAAATCCACCCTGGTTATAAGTGTTATTAAACTGTTGTAAGTCATTTTTTAAGTGCCTTTGTAAGTTCAAATGGTGACGAAATGAACTGTTGTAAGTCGAGGACTACCTGTGATGTGTTATTTGGTTATGTATTACCTTACTTTGTATGAATTTAGATGTTTCAAGGATTGGAATATTGTAGTTTATTTGTAAGGTGCATAAGCTTTAGTTCTGCCAGAGTTGTTGTGGGTGGAGTAGTTAAATACCTTCTAGGTGTTCTATACTATATACTAGGTTACCATGAACAATGCATCCCATTGGATTATCTAAATTGTCTTTGATGTTCATTAATTTAGAATGACTACTGCCCCATTGTGTTGGTTTTTCTAATTTAGGCAGATTAAGTAATAATATTTAAGATATCTGATTTAAGCCTTACCCAAACTCTTATTCATAGTTTTTTTTTTCCTCTAGAGATGTACAAAATGCTCCATACAAAGAAAACTGAATTTGGATAGTTCACATCTAAACATGTTCCACACAGAAGTGTTTTGGGCAGATGGTGTAAGAAAATGTCAAGGACATTAGGGCAAAGTGGTAGCTAAAGGTAGATAAGGAAAGGAAGGCACCTGGTAGATTCAGAAAATGTGTGGGTGATTGGATGTGCCATTCCTGAAGCCGGGGATTTTGGTTGCAGTTATGGCAGATATTGAAAAGAAGATGATGCAGGTGGTTTGGGTGGCTGCAACAAATGTCTTTACAATTGTGGTATTAATTTTGGCAATTTCATGAGATTTCGTCTGGTATTTTTTTTTTTATTGAAAAAGTTTTTCAAATACAGATTTCCCCCCCCCCTTTTTCCCCCCTCCTCCCTAACCCCCCCTCACCCTCCCCTTCCCCTGTGACTTCTTCATAATAAAACCCAAATTCATAACAGATTATATCATACTTTACCATCCACTTACTCCATCTCCATATGCTGACCCTTTCTTTCTAATAAAATTATCATATCCCCCTTATACTATACTATGCTATACATTTCAAAGTGACATTCTATTATAACATTATCTAATAACTCCTAATTTAACATAATAATATTATATCTCCCAATTTAGCGATTTCTGCTCATAATCTACCCTTTTACTACCCCCCATACGTATATCTCTTAAGTCAAATCTTTTGTATATATTAATATAACATTTCAAAACAACCTTCCACTATAAGACTATATAGTAAATCCTAATTTAACATTTATACAGTTCAGCTACCCATTTCCTTCCCCCACATCATTATATCTCTTAGCTCAAATCTTTTACATATATT